AAAATATATATATATATATATATATATTTAAATAATTACATTCAATAATTACATGTTCATTTTATTTGAATTAATTTAAATTATTATATTAAATTATTGAAACAATTAAAAATTGAAACAATATTTCTTATTAATTTTAAGTCGTAACAGTTTTTTTAGTTTAGTTTTTGTGTTTTTGTTTTGTTTTTCATAATCCTTAAATGTACTATGTATTTCCAGTAGTAAATTAGACTGAAATCCCAGTGTCTCCTAACTTGTAGACCCCATTGTGTGCCCAGTTGTATTTTGCCAGTTCATCAGAACTGATAGAATTAGGGCTGTCGCGATAACCGCAATATCGCAACACCGCGCTATTGACGATCAAACCGCAGAGGAATGCAAGAACCGCAGCAACCGCGATTTTTGCGTTTTCTTTTTTCATAGGCTTATGCCCTTCTCGTTTTACACTGTGTACTGAATACTAAATAAGTTAGTAATGATAACAATGTGTACCATGCTGCTTTGTACTGAGACTCCATAGATTTGCACTTAACAAGCCTAAACAGACAACGAATGAGAGATCAACTGAGCATGTGCGATTACTTGCGAGTCATATATATTTGTGAAAATAGGTAGTCATGTCCAAGGAAAGCCAAATCTGTGTCTTAGCATCGACGCATTGGTCAGCTGAGCCTTCTAACGTGGCGCTCAAAGTTAAAATGATTTCAACAGCGTCTCTTTGAATGAATGAATTCTCCTGTCTTGTCTTGCAGACTAATACACGTTTGCCAGTGTAATGTGGGGGAGATTAAACAGCGTCTCACCACCAGAGACTGAGCTTTGAAGTGGATCGAGTGAAGAGAGTTCCTAGACAGAGAGAGAAAGAGCTCTTTTGCCCTTGTCTTTTTAAAACGCAGGCCCACCGCGGTCAGGAAGAGACATCCTTCATGCACCTGTGACCACCCTGATGTGGCATTTGTGCACTAGAAGTATTCCACAAAGAACGTACGGCAGTTTGTCAGACAGACAGTGAGACCTTGTCCTTGTCTCAGTGAGTTTAATCCGTGGCATTGCTCGATCTCCGTCCCTCCAGTCTCTGCTAAAACAAACACGCGGACCTCTGCGATAAGATGCGTGTAATAATCCTGCTGTTTAGCGTCATGGTGATGAATCTTAATGTAATCGAAATTTGGTTTGGCACTAGGATATGTTCTTCAGTCTTGGACCTGCTGTTTGGGTAGAAATCGATGGGCTTTGATTGGTCATGAAGACATTGAGGGTTTGCGTCTCATTGACCATCTGGGATCTTTTTCGTAACACAGAATCCTGCTCAAATTTATCTGCGGCCTCGTTTTCTAAGGCTAGCTGTGTTTCTATATGTTCTCCCTTGTGTATGTTCTCCCTTGTGTGTGTCTATCTGGGCTTTTTTTCTTAATGCTATTTGTATTTTTCACTCTCTGAGTGTTCAGATTTCATGCACCTAAGATGCTGCTTGGATGGATACAGTACATTCAGATGAAATATTAGAGAAGCTATGGTAGTGTATGTGAATGCTGTTAATTAAAAACTGAATATAGCAACAGTTCACAGATAATGCAGCATTTCCATTTAAAGTCTCATAAACTGGTGCAAAATAAAAAGTAAAAGCCACTATGGCTCTTTTGCTAAAGGTAATGCATTACTTGGATAAACACTTTTTGCTAGCAATCGGTGGTAGATGCCTTATGTCTGGAGCGTGTCAGACACTTCTTGAAGGTAATAGTGGCCAATCATTTTGATAACAGGCTTTTGCTCCGGCATTTCAGAATTAATTTGAGATGCTATGAGATGATATTATTAATTATTTGTTCAAATTACTTTTTTTGGTTCAATCACATTTATTCAGCACACGTGTTCTCTTCGTAGTTTACATATAACCTTAATACTGAAAAAATGATCTTTTTTTTAAGATTTATTTTTGGCATTTTGCCTTTATTAGGATAGGATAGTGTAGAGTAGACAGGAAGCAAAGTGGGAGAGAGAGAGGGGGGTGGGATCGGGAAAGGTCCTCGAACCGGGATTCAAACTCGGGACAATGGCATTATGTCGGCGCACTGCCCACTAAGCTATCGGCGCCAACAAATTGATCTTTTACTGAATAAAAAATTCTTTTTTATACAGTATCCCAAAATGCGCACAAAATTATGTGGATGGCAACCTGGCAACAGTCAGATAGATTCCAACTCTCACTAACATCACTCCTCTTGTTCTGTCTTTAATATTAAATAAAGCAAAAAACATGGGCCAAAACTGTCAATAGTATCAGCAGGAGCAGGAAGCCCCAACAGAGATGGTATGAGGAGAAAGACTATTCGTAGAGAACTGAATAGGAAAAACTGCACTGCTCACTATTCTTTATTCATGTAAATATAGGAGCTATACTCACATAACTAGAAAAGATGGCAACCGAGTGAACTTTACTTCAAGGTACTTTAGCCACAGGTTGAGTTTTATTTCAGGATTTAATCTCTGACCATTGGACTTATGCCTTAGACCTTTTACCAACTTATACCCACCTTGGCTAGACAAACAAAACACAAAACTCTTAAGACTGTTGTCAAAACAACCCTCTTCCTTTCACATGCTTCCAAATCCATCTTCCTATAGCTCTCAGGAGATTCATCGCTCTCATATCGCAGAACAGATGCAGAGCTTTGAGCATTTATAGCCTTTAGAGTGAGTCTTGGGTCAAGCGATCTGTTGGTTTTTGGAGTTTTTTAAAGTACCTTTATCGCCAACAGTAAAGGTCTGCTTTCCATCTATTAGCATAATGTGTGCGGATACACACAGACACACTTTAATTTCTGGAATAGCTTTAACCGAAGACACCTACTTGTTTTTCTGTTCTTTCTCCCTCCTCTCAAGTCCTGTCCTGAAGGCTTAACTGGCAAGTCGTAGGGCTGACGCAGTGAGGTCAAAGGTCGCCAGCAGACAGAGCTCGGCTCTCCCCATGTAGATGTCACCGCTGTTACTGCAGCCGAATAATTAACGCTCTCAGCCAATCACATGCATCATTCATGAGGCTTCTGTCTCTCTCCCTCTCCCTCCGCTGCCGCAGAGGTCAGATATCTTGTTTATTAGAGCGCTGTGTTTGACAGCCGTTGGGAGGTGTGCAGCGAGATGATGCAGTTTTTCAACAGCAGTTTTTGGGCTGAGCCGCTGTGCTTAAACTTCACCCTGACAGCCAGTGGGAAATAGCCGTGAAGAAGGGTATCAGCAAATGATTGATCTCCGCTTTCTCGTTCTCTCTCTGCCTTTATGAGTGCCACCCTCTCACAGATGGCATCGAACAGACGCTTAGGCGAGATAGGATTTGAAAATAATTGGATGAGCCCAACACACGCACACGGGCTCACATCTACGCAAGCACACAGCCTCCGATAAAAAAAATGTCAAAGCCTATAAGTTAAAGGAAGACAAAAGAAGACATTCAGTGAGTCTGTTTGCGACTCTAAATTGGCCGCCTCATGTGGCGCGGCCTTGATCATACTATCGCAGCAGGGCGAGCTCGGAGGCGATGGACAGCAGGCCCCATCTCTCTCTCGTACCCCCAGTGGGGGGTCTGGGGCAGGGGGTCCTGGCACACACAGACTTTCAGCAGAGCAGCCATTCTTTGCCACATGCCGCTGCACTCAGTCGTTCGCTGACAGTTGGCGTGTGTATACATGAGCACACGTGTTAATAAACACACAACTTGACAAACAGCTCTACACATGGATAGAATTCACACTAACTGCATAATGCAAACATGCAGGTTAATTGGCGTGCAGAATTGGCTTCCTTTGGATTTGCAGAACACTCTGGATGTCTGGATCATGCTGTTTATGAAAGGCGAAGTTCCAGATTTCACTAAAATGATGAACTGGCTTAAATAAACAGCATTTTTCGGTTGCACCCAACTGGTAGAACAGTTTTACTTTGGCTGGCTGTGCAAAAGCAGAAAATGATTAAAAGCTTCATAGAGAGCTGTGAAGTAGTTTGTATTAGCTTTGTTTGAAAATGGCATTGAAAATTATTAAATATGATAAATAATATATTATGAATTAAAGTCAATTTTATGTACATACAATTACTTTATTAAAATATTAAATTGAACAAATAGTACACTCAAAAATTTAAATTCTTTAAACATAAAATGATAGTAATTTAGAATATATTAGTGTAGTAATAGTAGGTTATTTGACCAGCATGCTCTATTTCAAGTGTTTCAAAGCCAAATGATAGTTTTGTTTAGTTATGTAAAGAACCCGTAAGTAGAGCTGTGCAAATAATCAAAATACACTTTCGATTTCAATTTCGGCCTCCAACGATTATGAAAGTACAATAATCAAGATAAAACGATTATTGTGCCCCATTCCACCCCCTTCACAAACTTCACGTGCAAATCAGTAAAATCATGTAACGTGCTTGATTTATTAAAGTTTATTAGATTTATTTGTGTTTTTTAAGTGCAAAAGAGAACTTAAACTGTTCCTCAACTTTTTGTGCATGTGCTCCCACACGAAACAGAACACAGACAAGTAAAGTCAGCTTTTATCTTATAGTGTGTGCCTAAACGGTCAAATACATGTAAAGATGCGTCAAAATGCGGTGCTTGGTGATTATTCACGTAAACCCTCGTCTATTATGTGCTAAATAAACGTAAACAGTTGAGAATGAAAATGCGTGTGTAACAGTAAATTGGATCCGTGCATCTCTTAAAGTGACAACAGGCTAATATTCCTGCTGCCGACTGTGTTTAATATTAATCGAACAACAAAAGACAAAATCACTCACTGCTCTTGACTGAAGGACTTTTATAGCTTTAATAAGAAATAAAGAAAGTTTAGTTCTTACAGTGAAGACTATGCCGTTTTATTTTTAAATTTGATTATTCAATTTCTGTAGTAGGCGTTATCTGTATACTTCACTTGCATAAAAAACGCAAAGCACTATTTGTTTCATTTGTATCCTCTTTCAATTGTATTTGTCTTTGTCTTTTGCTTTTTTGTTTTTATTGTATTACTGACTGTTTAATTATTTTTCAATAATTTTTGAGGACCCTAATATTCTGCTGTGGTATTGAGAATTGTGAAATTTCGCTAGTATCTAAAAATATAGATGTAATAGCAACCTTATTTACAGAAAATATATTTAATAAATATATCGGTATCTTTAAATAAATCGCTCATAAAGTTTTGGTCATGTGGCCCACTCATAATCATGTTAAATAATCGCGATTACTCCAAAATAATCGAAATAATAATCAAATAATCGAGCAGCCCTACTCGTAAGCTTCAACACCTCTGCCGCTTCTACATATTCTGTTACACCAAATACACAAAATAATGATCTTTAAAAAAGCATCATATGACCCCTTTAACAATAATACGGAATTAGCCTAAAAAAAACAAACTGTAACATTGTGCTCATTATCTGCTTCTGAAATTAAAACCATTAATTTCTATCACTTATGCAACACTATATGTTGTGCCAATTTTCTGTTTCAATAAGGCAAAGGACAGAAAGCTTTTGAATATTTATTTCTTGCAAGAAATTAGGGCTGTGCAGTTAATAGAAATACAATTTCGATTTCGGCTTCCAGTGATTATGAAAATACAATAATCAAGATAAAACGATTATTGTGCCCCATTCCACCCCCTTCACAAACTTCACGTGCAAATCAGTAAAATCATGTAACGTGCTTGATTTATTAAAGTTTATTAGATTTATTTGTGTTTTTTAAGTGCAAAAGAGAACTTAAACTGTTCCTCAACTTTTTGTGCATGTGCTCCCACACGAAACAGAACACAGACAAGTAAAGTCAGCTTTTATCTTATAGTGTGTGCCTAAACGGTCAAATACATGTAAAGATGCGTCAAAATGCGGTGCTTGGTGATTATTCACGTAAACGCTCGTCTATTATGTGCTAAATAAACGTAAACAGTTGAGAATGAAAATGCGTGTGTAACAGTAAATTGGATCCGTGCATCTCTTAAAGTGACAACAGGCTAATATTCCTGCTGCCGACTGTGTTTAATATTAATCGAACAACAAAAGACAAAATCACTCACTGCTCTTGACTGAAGGACTTTTATAGCTTTAATAAGAAATAAAGAAAGTTTAGTTCTTACAGTGAAGACTATGCCGTTTTATTTTTAAATTTGATTATTCAATTTCTGTAGTAGGCGTTATCTGTATACTTCACTTGCATAAAAAACGCAAAGCACTATTTGTTTCATTTGTATCCTCTTTCAATTGTATTTGTCTTTGTCTTTTGCTTTTTTGTTTTTATTGTATTACTGACTGTTTAATTATTTTTCAATAATTTTTGAGGACTTATACTTTTTTAACTTAGGAGTTACCCTAATATTCTGCTGTGGTATTGATAATTGTGAAATTTCGCTAGTATCTAAAAATATAGATGTAATAGCAACCTTATTTACAGAAAATATATTTAATAAATATATCGGTATCTTTAAATAAATCGCTCATAAAGTTTTGGTCATGTGGCCCACTCATAATCATGTTAAATAATCGCGATTACTCCAAAATAATCAAAATAATAATCAAATAATCGAGCAGCCCTACTCGTAAGCTTCATCACCTCTGCCGTTTCTGTCAAACCTCATTCTTGAATATATGCCTCTACATATTCAACCTTGATTATGAGACACACAAGAACCAGTGTCATTTGGTATCATTAGCATCTTCACACACAGTATCTCCATCTGCCTTTATTGTAAGGAAAAGAGCAGCATAAACATTCTTCAAAACATCTCCTTTTGTGTTCCACAAAAGGTCATACAGGTTATATGAATGTGAGTAAATTATTGTAGAACTTTAATTTTAGGTGAGCACAACTCTTTAAATGTCATTTCGGGAAAAATATAATTACTGATTTGGTACTTAGTTTGAATTACCCTGCCAAATAGACCTAAAATGGGCTGTTTGCTTGTTACAATGGCTTGACAGTTCTGTTATCCATGGGATGTCACATCAGGGGAATTTTCTGTGCTCTCTGGAATAACATATCAGTCCTCAGTGACCCAGTGCCTCTAATCTACCACCTGGTCATCACTGCTATATTTGCACTTCTTGTCTTCAAGCGTTTTTAATCATTCCATGCCAAACACACTCTTATCTCCCACAAACCTTTTTTCTAATAAGAGTTATAGACAGACAGTAATTAACTACCAAATGAACACACACATACGCGAGTGCTGCTGCTCTTTTCATGTCTTTTGACTGTGGTCTGTGTGTATATATATAATTGCTCAATAGCAGTGACCATTTTCCTGAGCAAACACAAGGGACCCAGAGCCACTACGTGAGCAAACCGGCATCCATCAGCACAGCAAACACGTCCACACACACATACTTCTCTACATACCGTGAGATTTGTGTGTGTGCGAATGTGACCTTCAGAAGTGCAGAGACATGCCGCAGAGAGTTACAGGAAGTCAGTGTCCATCGCCATCTCTCGTGCCTCATTGATCGCCTAGTGTCCTACACACACACACACACACACACTTTTCCATTTGATAGTTATCCTGTGGCCATATGTGTGCTTGTATCTCATTGACTACACTGTAAAAAAATGATTATTTGAAGTTGTAAATAAACATTATTGGAGTATGTTTTATGAGAAAATACTATTTAGGTCTTTCTACATCAAAATTTCATGTTTAATTCAATGTGTTACTTTCCATATGAATTTATGCTAGGTGTTTATGAATTATGCAAGTGACTGAACAAATACTACATGGCCAAAATATGTTGACACCAGAACACCATACCTACATGTGCTTGGTAAATTTGTTGGCATTACTTATTAGGAAGTCTGGGAAGTATTTCCACATGGTGTTGGTATATTGGCTATAAATGTGTTTTTCTGTTTTGCTTTATGGCTCAGACTCTCTTTTTATATTCTTTTGTTTAGGTGTATCCCCAGGCTCAGATGCTCAGGTGAACAGCGAGAACGTCCGCAATCGAGAGCAGATCCTTCAGACATTGACTGACCTCTCCAGATCCTTCCAGGACATCGCTGACCGCTGCCTTCTGGTGCTTCATCTGGAGGTCAGGTAGGTCTGACCACTTCATCTCAGTCTAAAAGAAGGAATCCATGCACAAGTCTTAAGATATCTTCATACAAACAACAACTTAAATGCTGCAGATTTTAATGCTGCAGGACCATCATCTCCATCAGAATAAAACGGGCTGTAATTTTAAATCTTCATAAGAGTTTGCCCGGCCCAAAAGAGCACCAATGGGTCATTCACTCTGCTACCCTCCTCCACAGACCCTCCCTCCCGCTCGCCTGATTATTCTCTGATATCATTTAGCTTATGTGATCCTGTTTATGATTTGGAAACAATAACTCGCGGCTCCTATGCTACGCGTTATTGACTTTTTCCATCAAGCAAATTTCCCCTGACAGTGCTTGAGGGTAAATTAAGCTATAAGAGAAGGTAAGAAGAGGATGCAGGCTTTATGGTTTGGTAGCGGGCGGCTTCGCTTAAAGCTTTTCTAATGCTGAATGAGAAAAGGGAGGTTTATTGCAGGGCTGTTGGAGGCCATTATGGAAACCTCTCCGTCTCACCTTTTCTTTCTTTCTGTCTCAAGAATGCTCTTTCTTTGTGCACCTATACCCAGGTTTATTAGTCCATGAACACTTCACAGATTGTACCCCCCAAACACACATGCACCTGCTCACAGGACATTCCATCATCCCAGTTCATTCAGCCTTTATAGAGTGAAGCGAGATATTCACTACCAGCATCTGGCATTTCTCTGAGGACCGATGACAGTCTAGAGTGCCATTAACACTACTCGCAAATGATAACAATAACTCACACGTTCAAACTGGTTTTCATTATTTCTTACATTTAATGGTAATTTAGATTATGTGGTAATACCCTGCGGATAGATTATGTGGAAATGCTCTAAATTTTCCAACAGAATTTTGGGGAAATTAGTAGATTTTATTATCTGGAAAAATTATTCATAAGTTGTTTTTATTATTGAAACATAATAAAATTAATTAATTTATTATTATATTAACATATAGTATATGTGGTTGTAATGTGTGTGTATAATGTATAATTTATATTTTGTATTATAACAAATAAATGAACAAATAAATAAAATGTATTTATACTGTGTGTGTGTGTATGTATATACAGTATATATTCATAATAGTATATATGTGTGTGATTTATTTTATAAATTAATACATTATACATAATATTTTATTTATAATCTATATTTATTCATTAGTTATTCTATTTATTTATTTATTATTTTGACCTTAAAGGGATAGTTCACACAAAAATGAAAATTTGATGTTTATCTGCTTACCCCCAGGGCATCCAAGATGTAGGTGACTTTGCATTATGGAAACCTCTCCGTCTCACCTTTTCTCTCTTTCTGTCTCAAGAATGCTCTTTCTTTGTGCACCTATACCTATATGTTTGAGTTAAAAATCTTTGTTTGTGTTCTACTGAAGAAACAAAGTCACCTACATCTTGGATGCCCTGGGGGTAAGCAGATTAACATCAAATTTTCATTTTTGGGTGAACTATCCCTTTAATACTGTAGGCCTATATGTCATACAGGGGCATTAATACAAACTCCCTTTTAAAATAAAAAATGGATAAAATATCCAAATGTGAAAATAATTAGTTCACTTGATCAAAGGCATCTTAATTGCGGTTTTCCAGGAAAGTCTGATGAAAAGACTTTTTCATGTTAACATTATTCATTTTGAGGTGAAATCCTGTGTGTTAAAACAAGTCATATCTCAAGCTTCAAGAAAGTTCTTATCTGTCTCAACTGGTAATTGTCATTCCGTGTCTGTCGTCTCTGCCCCATCAGGGTCCACTGTTTCCATTATCTGATCCCTCTGGCAAAACAAGGCAACTACGCCATCGTGGCTAATGCAGCCAGCATGGACTACGACCCCCTGGTGGTGAAGCTGAATAAGGACATCAGTGCCATAGAGGAAGTGATGGGAGCCGCCCTGCAGCAGCACAAGTTTCAGTATATCTTTGAGGGTGAGTGACCTCTTGCCTCAACAGGAAGCTGATGCCTGAAGCAGTATTTCTTTTCTGACTATCTTCCTGTCTCGGTGCAGGTCTGGGTCACCTGATCTCTTGTATTCTGATAAACGGAGCTCAGTACTTCAAGCGCATCAGTGAGTCCGGCATCAAGAAGATGTGCAGAAACATCTTTGTGCTCCAGCAGAACCTGACGAACATCACCATGTCACGCGAGGCTGATCTGGATTTTGCCAGGTAGAATACACAAATATTCTCAGTAGGGATGTGCAAAACGACATCATTTCAAAATCAGCTTGCCTGAACAACTCCTCAACCAATTGGTTTTAAAGGTGTCATATGACGTTGCTAAAAAGAACATTATTTTGTGTATTTGGTGTAATGCAATGTGTTTATGCGGTTTAAGGTAAAAATATTCTCCTCTATGCCCCGCCTTTCTGAAACGCGTCGATTGTTACAAAGCTCCTTGTTCTGAAAAGCGAGGTGTACGCTGATTGGCCAGCTATCCAGTGAAACGAGGCGTTTTAGGAGGACGTGGACGAGTCTTAACTTTTATAAAGAATATCTCTTTGGGTTTGAGACTTTAGTCTTTGCAACTTTAGGGATCTTATCTATGCACGAACAGCTTGTAACACTCCAAAGAGAAAGGAAAACTTGAAATTGCATCATATGACCCCTTTAAGGAAAACATCTACAAGGCTATCTTCACACTTGGCGTCTTTTTTTAAGCTGCCAGCGTCTTTTTTACATTATAATCCTATGGAGTAAACTGTGTTTCCAAAAAAGTCCTGAGCGCTTTTTTAAGGGTCACTGTAAGTGTCTTTTTCTGCAGCTCAGAGCATCTTTTCAAGTTGAAAAAAGTTCAGCTTTTCTGAAAAAAATGCCCTACGTTAAGCGCCTTTTTGACAGCTGACCAATGACAAGTGAGTAGCGAGGCCTGTTGTTTCCATAACAATAAGAACGACAAGAAAAAATGGAGAAGGTGCCAGTAGATAGACATCGTACTATCGGACTAAATTGTTGTAAGCACCATACTGTTTCCTTCCCCGTATAATGTCGTGCACCCACAAACGTTGTTGTGAACCGACATTCTCCTCCCCATTAACTTCAAAAGCCAATGCAAAAGCCAACTTCCTCTTTCTCAACATTTCTGCACCACACAGCACTAGGCTTCTGTTGCAACTGTTGTTATAGCCACAAAAGACGCCCTCGGCTGCTATTTTTACAAAAAAAGCGCCCTTGTCAAAAAAGTCGCCGAGTGTGAACACACCCTAAGTAAGTTTTTTTAGGGTTCAGGAAATGTATAGGTTATGAAATTTATATGCACCCACAAACGTTGTTGTGAACCGACATTCTCCTCCCCATTAACTTCAAAAGCCAATGCAAAAGCCAACTTCCTCTTTCTCAACATTTCTGCACCACACAGCACTAGGCTTCTGTTGCAACTGTTGTTATAGCAACAAAAGACGCCCTCGGCTGCTATTTTTACAAAAAAAGCGCCCTTGTCAAAAAAGTCGCCGAGTGTGAACACACCCTAAGTTTTTTTAGGGTTCAGGAAATGTATAGGTTATGAAATTTATATTTCAATTAATAAATATCAGCTCTTTCCAGTCAGCCTATAACTAACAGCATGTTTCTATATTTTTATGGGAAGATCACTGTCAGGGCAGTTAAATTAAATGGAGTAATGTACATTTTGCTGTACAAACAATGGGAATCAATACCCGGCGGATTTCTTGCATGATTATTACAGCGCTGGCTTATTGACCCCCCTCAAAGACTCCTCTGATTGACCCCTCCTACACACAAACACACACACACACACACACACAGCAGAGAGAGCATCTCTCTGTAAACCCCTTATGAATACATTGGCATTATCCTCATAAACAAGATAATAAAGGAGCACTATAACACTAGACTCTTGCAGCTGTACCCCTGTCATTTATATTCAGCTTTGAGTGTGTGTAAACGCCGGTGTGTTGAGGGATTCATTGAGGGAGATGGAGGCATATATGTGGATGCTGGGAGATGGAAGAAGGGGAAACGTTGGCCGCTCTCCCATCTGAATGCTTGCTGTGGGCGACTGGGCCAAGGACACAGTAATAACCATCGATTTGAGTTAAAGCTGAGCAGTGCAGTGGCCAAACCCAGTGGCGCTCCTCTCCTACGGCAGGCTTTGGTCACAGTGCCATCTAGTGATGAGGAACATGGCGTCAGTGGAGAAAGCATGCTTGAAAACGTTAGCACATTTATTTATTTAAGCGAGTACAAACAGTGTAATTTGAGTGTGCAGGGCTACTGCCGGAGGTTTTGATGTTTAAATCAGGAGTAAACAACTTCACTAGTAGTTTTTCATTGAAATGACCTTGCGTGCATGGTGTTGGTCCAGTCCCCAAGCAAAACCAGAGTGCTTTTACTCTCGCTACATGCTCACATGCATACACATACACACACCATCTGCTCACAGCCTTAGACTGAGCCAGGCCATGTCCCAGAGTCCTGCAGGTGCCTCAATAATGTCTAATCCACATCACCCAGACCTGGCAAGAGACTGCTGGTTGTGAGCAAATGTATGTGTTTTTAACTCCAGTGTTACTGTATATTAGTTAAAGATGCGAAATGGATAGAATCTGTCATAGCATAAGGACAAACTATCCCAGAACCTCTTTATACATCTGTATGATCCGCATTTTGAATCAGTAGATGCATATATTATCATTCGAAAAATTTGGAGTAAGATTTTTTTAAGCAAAAAAAAATAACTTTTATTCACATTAAATTGATCAAAAGTGACATTAAAGGCATTAATAATGTTACAAAAGATTTCTATTTCAAATAAATGCTGTTCTTTTTAGTTTTGACTGAAAAAAATCAATAGTGATTATAACAAGAAATGTTTCTCAAACAGCAAATCGGCATATTATAATGATTTCTAAAAGATCATGTGACACTGAAGATTGGAGTAATGGTAGCTAAAAATTCAGCTTTGCATCACAGGAATAAAATAGTAAACAGTTATTTTAAATTGTAATAATATTTTTAAATAGTATTGTTTTTGCTCAAATAAATGCAGACTTGGTGAGCGTAAGAGGCTTCTTTCAAAAACATTAAATCAACATTTTGTAGATACGTAGTTAGGCATCTAATTCATCAAGTTTTTCGAAAAATTTGGAGTAAGATTTTTTTAAGCAAAAAAAAAAACTTATTCACATTAAATTGATCAAAAGTGACATTAAAGGCATTAATAATGTTACAAAAGATTTCTATTTCAAATAAATGCTGTTCTTTTTAGTTTTGACTGAAAAAAATCAATAGTGATTATAACAAGAAATGTTTCTCAAACAGCAAATCGGCATATTATAATGATTTCTAAAAGATCATGTGACACTGAAGATTGGAGTAATGGTAGCTAAAAATTCAGCTTTGCATCACAGGAATAAAATAGTAAACAGTTATTTTAAATTGTAATAATATTTTTAAATAGTATTGTTTTTGCTCAAATAAATGCAGACTTGGTGAGCGTAAGAGGCTTCTTTCAAAAACATTAAATCAACATTTTGTAGATACGTAGTTAGGCATCTAATTCATCAAGTTTTTTAAACTTTATGCAAATAAGCAACGATGTAATGTGGCTATCAACCAATGGGAGTGCAGACAGTAAAGCTTACTTGATCCCCCACCTGGTGCAGTTGGATAGGAAAGTCTAGTAGCAACTATTTCACAACACTAGACCATCTGATGCCAATTGTACACAAAAATGGCAAGTAATGGCTGAAATCATTAGTTATAATCTAGGGTGCGTTTCCCAAAAGCAACTATGGTCACAAGCTCTGTCGTTACCAATGGAGTTCAATGGATACCATTAATACTTAATACTTTATACCATAGTTAGCTAACAATGCATGCCTGATTGACTGAGTACATGAACTAAATTCTAAAACAGAACTGAAAAGTTTAGACATTCTGAAATAGAGTTTTCCATGCAGGTGTAGTATTTCTTTTTTTTTTTTTTTAGAATCTATTTTGGATAAACCCGCTAAGCAGCACACAAAACACTGGAAGTTCTCAAAAAGTGCTAAAAATGTCACTAGGACATTCTCTTTCTTTCTAAATGGCAGAATATGCTGCAGTGAGGACCAGCCATGCTGATCACGTTCTCTTTCTTCCAGTGTAAAATCTAAACCATGCTCTCTCATTCAGTAAGGAAAGGGGAATTTGTTAGGAACTCACAGTTCAGAAACTGGCTGACTGGCATGCATGGGTCAGAGGTCAAGCTGTTGGAAAAGCACCTGTCTTGTGAGGCCATTTGTAAAGGCTTCTGGAAAAACGACATTTAGTCAGCGTGTCAGGGTGACGGCCTGGACTGTTTACACCACGGCTGCACTGCGCTCTCGATAACCACAAAACAAACCGACAGCTGCACTTGACAGCACATTGGTCTTTCTGTTTGCACATGTGCGAGTCACATGAGGCTTTTCTCCATATCTGTCTGTTGTGTTTATCTAGATGTATTGCTCTGTATTTTCGCATTTGTTCACAGTTATGTGATGTTCTTGACTTCACGGTTATCACTTCAGTAATAAGATGCCATGAAAATCTAACTTCCATTGGACACCATTGTGTAGCTATTATGAAAATAACCAGTATTCTTAATAAGTTATGGCATTGATTTTTGATGCCATTATACAATTAGGCAACATAGTGACTATTGCAGTGATTTTGATGTGCTTTTTAATGTGCAGCTAAAATTAGGTTTCAGTTTGTTTCTGTGGATCAGATCAAATTATCAATTTCAATGAATATGTTCTATAAATTCAATGATTCGTCGATTATAAATTCAGTCATTTATTTTCATCATCTCTCAAAAATACTTACTGAAGTATCTTTTTTGCATTAAAATAAGTAGTAAAATATATGTAAATAAATTTTACTGTTTATTACTATATATATTGACACTTATAAGTGAAATTTATTCAAAAAATGTTTTTCCACTTTTCCATTCTGAAATACTTTAACAATACTTTTTTATTTTATTTCTGTCCGATTTTACACATTTTCACTAACTGCTATTGGGTTGAAATGATGATTTATCTAATTGAAAGCTAAAAAATATTGTCCAGCTCTACTTCTACTGCAGCAGCAGCCAGTAACAGTCTCCACAAACCATTTTTGAGCCTGTTCTACTTTCTATCCAGGACTCCTTCTGTTGAGGTGTTTTCTAATATGTAGACCAGGGTCAGACCGCCTCATCTCAAAGCCTCACCTCACTTTAGAACAGAGCAGCTGATGAAAGAGCAGCCCATCTGCAAAATGTTCCCATTAACAGGAAAATCGGACCTGTCAAGCATGTAGGAGGGAAATGTCCTGAAAGCCTAATATGCTCTTTTGCATGGAAAGCATTGGCATTTGTTACTGTGGTGACAAGTATGTGTGTTCTGTCTGATGGAGAGGATCGTCTTGGGCATCTCGCCTGCTCTCTCTCTCTCTCTCTCTCTCTCTCTCAGCCGCTAACTAATGTGTTGCTGAGAATGCGCTGACAGAAGCAGCCCTTAATGGCTTTAATATTGTACATGCTGGAAATTGGAGGAAATGAATTGTGCTGATTCAAGTTTTTTTCACCATCTCCCTTTGCGCCAACATACATCTCCCTGCATCCTTCACTGCATACATCATAAATTAGCTTAATACCCTTTGTATGCACTACTGTACAAACAGAAACAGTCTAATTAAAACTTAATGGCACTCAGAAAACACACACACAGGTGCAGGTTCTATGTGTGAGAAGTTCCTGCTCTTTATTATCTTCTAATGGGAGAGAGGATTGGGAGAGGAGAGGAAAGGAGGTGGTCTTAAAAGCCATGGAGAGTTAATCAGATTAGCAACTCGCCGCCGTTTCCCTAAATGCTTTTAAATGTGTGTGAAATGAAGTGTGGAGAATGTCATAGTTGGCACACCAATCAAACAAACAAACATACAGAAGCACACAAATAGACAGCTGCCCTCTTTATGTTGCTGAAATAGCATTTTATTTTCAAAAATTGACAATTAGAAATCTTGCCTTGGCAACTAACTGACATAAAATTAGTTAAAGTACTAAAATTACTAAAACTAAAACGGAAATAAAATCAATTAAAGCCAAATAGAATAATGAAATAAATGGAAACAAAAATAAAATCAAGAACGAATAAAAATGTCAAAAGCACATGACAAAATTGCAAAAACTAAACTACACTAAAATAAAATTCTAATTAAAACCTGAAATATAAAAATATAAGCTAATTCAAAATATTAATAAATACTGTAATTGTAAGTAAATATTAATAGAACAACACTGTATATTATATATTCACTTTTATTATATTATTATGTAAGAGTTGTTTGGATATTCTTTAAAAAATCGTTTGTGTTCCATGGAAGAAAGTGTTCATACTGATAAAATTACATTTTTAGCATACTATCTATTTAAACACTTAAGTTTGGATTTTCTTTCAATCTTTTGTGCTAGGAAAACAAAGCTGTTTGATGTCAAACGAAGTGCTGTATATGAGACTGTCCTGTTTTGAGCTCTAATGAGCAGACAGCCCAGGTCTGGTGGATTAACGCAGGCACAGGAAGGGTTACTGGGACACTGGACTGTCAGGACTGTTATAAATGGCTGTGTTTTTTCAGTGTCAGAGATGAATGGGGGTTAATGGAACTGCCCTCTCTCTGTCCTGCAGGTGCACTTGTGCTCACATTCACACTTTTTGGCAAGCTTTTCAGCGTCTTATGGGTTGAATCTGTATTTTTCTACTGGCTGAATATGCTGTGATCACTTGATTTTTCATGTTAGTGTTAATCTGCAGCATTAGAGCTCAGCATTTTAGAGGCGTAAGGGCAACACCATTATTTCCAAGAACTTAAGTACATTATTTCCAAAATCTTTTTCACCAAGAAGGTTTAGTAGAAGACAGTAGATCTCTGAGATGTTTGAGCGTGTGTTTCTGTCTTTCATTTAGTGCTCCATTTCCAGCCAGTGGACTGATCGTCTGTTTGGTTTCCATTACATTTCCCTGCTAATCTTCAAGAAATGGAGTAAAGTCTTGCTGAAGTTTTTAAAACAGCATCCACTGTAAAATTGGCCTTAGACTGTAAAGTTGGCCTATAGATTTTTTTTAAATTTTGAGCTGTGTTACAGTTGCTAGGATGTTGTGGTTGGTTGCAAAGGCATTGCTATACAGTTGCTTAGGTGTTGCTGAGTGGTTTTAGCATCTTGCTAGGTTTTCTGGCTTCTAGGTGTTTACAATTGGTTTAAGTAAAAAAAGCCCACCTCCAAATCTCTACACTGAAAAAAAAATTGGTGTAGAAACATTTTTCATTCAGAAATTGCTAGTAAATTGCGCATTACAAAGAAATGTGACATTTAATGTGAAATTTTAAAGTAGAAAGACTGAAACAATTTGTTGTTCAAACTAATCTTTGTTTCATTTACAACGTTGAATCATTTTTGCAGTATAGATACGACACTGGTATCTCCTTTTGTTGTTAATTTCGATTTGGATTTTTGTTAATTGTGTCGTCTAACACTGACAAAAAATGGCTTGAAAGTATTTTGTACTTAAAAATTGCCATTAAATTTCACAAATAGAAACAAAGAAATGGCAATTAACGCATTGAATTAAACATGAAAATTTGAGGTACAAAGACTGAAATAGAGTTTTCTTGTAAAACATACTCCAATGGGAAAAGAAACTTTGGAGAAAAAAATTATAGTGTAGATATCCAATATATACGAGTCAGACATTTTTTTTTTAATTATTGGAGTTTAATTACATATGCTAAGCACCAAATTATGCACCATATAACTGTTTCAGTAGAATATCTTTGTATTATAGTAGAAATCACAGCCATGATGCATCTCCATGGTTCTCCAGAAGTTTAATATCTCCAGAAGTTCATAACCTGAGGCCTTTATGATGTCTGGCATGTCTTTAAAATTTACATGTGCTTCATCGTGAAAAGACTAAAATTGGCCATTTCTGCCAGTGTTTGCTCTGTACGGAGCACCTTTAAAGTGAGAGGTTGTGTAGAATGGGCTCTTCGGCTCATTTCGAGTGCAGCCAGAAGTCTCAGAGCACCTGGAGGAGTGTGCCAGCTTGATAGGGGAGTTAGAGAGAGTCCTGCTGGCTAAGGCCTTTTCTGTGTGCCTGAGTAATGCTGCATGAGAGAGATTCGGAGGAGTCGTCTGCTCTGATGGGGTCAAAACACATTCAGCTCTTATCACCCCTGTTACAAATGTGCCTCTGCTGCAGAAATAGAAGTTGTAAGCCCTTTATGGGTGTGTGTATGCATACTCATGTGTAAGTGGTCTCCTTGAACTATATGTCTAATGTTTAATGCATGTTGTCCCATTCCATTGGTCAACAGCATGTCTGGGCCAAAGGGGTCATGGAAAAATGGTTTGATGTTCTCAACAAGTTTTGTGAATGCATAGCATCACAATAAGGTACAATAAGGCCCGTGTGAGAGAGTTTCAGCTCTTTTGACAGAACTTTCATTTTGTTGCATTATGTTTTATTTATTAATTATTTATGTTGTTAATTCTATATGTGTGTTCTTTTATGGAAATTAACATACTTAAAATTTTTTGACAAAAATACTTATTTTACTAATAATATTTTGTAGTACTGGTTTTTATATCCTTTACTTTTACTTTACTTTCAGAATGATATTTTTATAATTTAATTGTATTAAATTATCATTTCAGGTGTTGAAATGGATTGAATATAATAAATTAAAATGTTTTAGACCTTATGCAATTATTTCAGGTAAAATTATTTTATAATTTATATTGCTCTTACAGAGTTGTAGCTGTAAGATGTAGTTATTTTTGCAAATTAATATTCTAAATTACACTGTAGTGTTTTTTAAAGGAAACAGTGGTTAATAACAATTTTAAGTATATTTCACAGTATATTTTTGACATTTAATATATGTATGTGTGTGTGTGTGTCTGTGTCTGTGTGTGTGTATACATGTATATATGTATGTGTTGTTTGAAATTATATAAATACAATATATAGCTGTAAAATGTAGTTATTTTTCCAAATTAATATTTTAAATTACATTGCACATTGTAGTGCTTTTTAAAGACAGTGGTTGGTTACATTTATAAGTATATTTTTGACATTTAATATAATAAAATATAATATTTTGCTAAAAATAAAGTTTATATATATATATATATATATATATATATTTTTT